AACCTTCGCAAGAAAGCGAAGGTTGGAGACAGGACGGTAGTTGGCCAAAACAGCCGGGTCCAGGGAGGGCTTCTTGAGGAGGGGCCTCACCACCGCCTCTTTCAAGGCGGCCGGTAAGAACCCCTCACTCAGAGAAGCGCTGACGATTCCCTGGAGCCAGCCTCGTGTAACCTCCCGGGAGGCCCAAAGACTTGTCAAATGGGTCCCTTCCACTATGCCACTTCAGCTTCCCCAAATAGATAAATACAGTGCTTTTTTTCTAAAAAAAAAAAAAAGGTGCCGGAACTCACACACGTCATACAACCCACCTTGCCTACCCTATAATGTTCCATCCAAAAAAAGTGCCGGAACTCCATTCTGGGCATTCTATGAGAAAAAAAGCCCTGGATAAATAGATCTGAAAAAGGCCTCACCCACATAACAGAGGGGGTTTTTTTGTTTGCCAGTTTTTGTTTTTCTTAAATATCTATTCTCCAACCTTGAAATCTGCCCACTCTACATCATTATTGTTGCTGTTATTTTAATTTACATTCTGCCTTTCTACTTGTTGGGTACTTAGGGCAAATGCACTTGTAACTACCATGTTAGGAGCCATTTTGTTCACATTCCTGTTGTTTTACCACAGGTTCTTCGTACAGCAGGTTGGAAGGTCTCCTTGCTAGACCTAGCAGGCACAGATCACTTTGATGTCATTGAGAGACTCTCCCAAGAGAACTATCTCCTCACACAGGTATAGTGGTTAAGAGATTTGGCAGTAAAAATGACCGTATTTGGGAATAGATTAGATTGAACTTGTGCTATAAATTATGCTTCAGACAGGCATGACATTTATAACTTAGAAAATAATTGATCATTCACAGACAAATGAGAATTGTAGTTTCTGGACTTCTAGTGGGGAAAATGACAGTTGACATGCATTCAGAGATGACGTCCCAGCTCTTTTTTGCTCCTTGAAGGAGGATCGAAGGAAGAATCCAGGAATCCACTATGCAGTTTCTAGACCAGGGGTAGGCAATCTTCGCTCTTTTATGACTCGTGGACTTCAACTCCCAGAATTCCTGAGCCAACCATGCTGGCTCAGGAATTCTGGGAGTTGAAGTCCACGAGTCATAAAAGAGCCAAGGTTGCCTACCCCTGTTCTAGACTATTGTTCCTCATGAGTAAATTGCAGAAACAGAGTTTTCCTCAGTTGGCTTGTGAACTGAATGACAAGGGGATAGGATGTTCATTGAGTGCACAGTTGCAATGTAACCAAAACTATGTCATCAGAAACAACCTTCCTCATTTCTTTGGATTTTTTTCTATAAGTGAAAGAGAGATCAGATAAATCAGGGGTCCCCAACCCCAGGGCCACAGCCCACTATTGGGCTTTGGCCTGTTCGAAACTGGGCCACGTGAGCAACTGGCTGGAGCATGCACATGCGCATAGCTCAACTTGCATGAGCAGTGGGCCGGTTCCCCTTTCTACCCCCCCTCCCCGAGTTGCCAGGCCATAAAGGTTGGGGACCATTGAGATAAATGTTCTTTGGATGCTTTTGTTATTTCTAAAGTTGTGTTTAAATTAAAACATTAGAAAGTCTCACTGGCACTTGCTTCATTTACAAAAATTTGGAAATAAAGGAGACCAAAAATATTTAGACAGAATTACTTTTTTTAATTTTTTTTATTTACCTTGTCACCCTTTTTTTTTAGGAACAAAGAGTTCCCTTTTTTGAATTAAGAGAAAATATTATATTTTCTACCAGCAGAGTGTGCTATAGACCATGACTACATGGTGCTAGATGAGGTTCGTGAGATGAGCAGATTCCACTGGTTCTGATAAAAGAAACATTTGATGATTTGAGTAAAAGATTAACACAATCTCTGGAAGTTAAATCTGAAATTTGGACAAAAGACTGGAGAAGAATTCAGGGGAAATTAAACAAATCAATAATAGGATGGACTTTTTTTTTTTTTTTTTTTTTTTTTTTTTAGAAAACTAGGGATTTGGGGCTACAGAAAGAATTTTAAAAATTGGCTATGCTGGAACCCAGACAGAAGGAATTTTGTTTGCAGTGCAGGTCTATTCCAGAAGATCCCTTGAGAATATATGAAAAAAGCTTGTTTAGGCATTAGCTGATTTGTTGAGCTGGGGGAGGAAACGATTGATGAAGAACTGGACAAGGTGTATCATGTGGGTTTGCTGCAGTAAGACAAACGCCAAGAGATATTTTGGTACATTTCTTGAGGAGAAGAATGGGGGGACCAATTTTTGCAATGTCATTTTGAGGCAAGATTTAAATTGATAATGTTGATGAAATTGTTTTAAAGGAGATTTCCATTAGGATCTTGCGTATTTCTAACAAACATTCTGAAACAGTAAATTATTCAATTATTCAATTTTATTGGCATAAGTTGGAAGGAATAATTTTTAAATGAGTTTTGCCCCATCTTATGACCTTTCTTGGCACAGTTGATAAGTGAATCTGGCTTTCCCATTGACTTTGATTGTTAGAAGGTTGCAAAAGGTGATTACTTGACCCTTGGATACTGCATCCATCATAAATACATGCCAGTTGACAAGCATCCAAATTTTAAATATGACTATGGCGATGCTGCAATAGTCATAAATGTGAAAAATGGTCATAAATCACTTTTTTCAGTGCAGTTGTGACTTTGAATAATTACTAAATGAATGGTTGCAAATTGAGGACTATCTACATTATTCTAATTTGTATAAAGCACAATGGCCAGGAAAAATTGATGGAACAACATTTATCAAAACTTTAATAATCCCAGAGCAAATTGTGAAGATTCCTATATCAACTTTGGAGATATTGGTAGCTATAAAAAAGATTAAAACAGGGAAGGCACCAGGACTGGACAGATTATTAGTTCTTATTATAAATGTTTTTGAAGATCAACTTTTGCAACTGTTTCAGAAAATGATGAATTCCATTTTATAAGGTGATGCAATGCCAGAATCCTTGAAGGAGGCAAATATTGTGTTGTTGCCAAAAGAAGGACAAGATCTAACCTTGCAAAAAAAAAAATATAGATCAATTTCTTTATTGAACAATTACTATAAAATATTTTAATCAATTCTAGCAGACAAGCTAAAAATATCTTCTCAGAGTATATTCACGAAGACCAACGTGGATTTATTTTAAACAAACAAACAAACAAACAAACAAATACTGGATATAATATTTACCACAACATAATAAAGAGCAAATGCATTAATTTCCTTAGTTGCCAAAAAACGTTTGACAATTTGAACTGGTCCTGCTTGTTTAAAATTATGGAAGATCTGGCTTTTGGTGAGAATGTTCTTCATGAAATCAAGTCCATAGGTACATCTAAAAAAAGCTTGAGTTATAATTAATGGTGATCTGACTAAATCACATGATATTCAAAAGGGGAAAAGACAGGGTTGTCCTCTGTCTCCTTTGTTGTTTATTTTGTTCTTGAAGTGTTGGAACAGAGACATCAGACAAGATGAGAATATAATGGGTTTGAAAATTAAAAACGAGTCCTTTAAATTGAGAGATTTTGATTATGGTTTAATTTTGACGTTACAGGGTCCTTTAAAAGGAATTGAAGTTTTGATTGAAAACATGGAAAAATCAGCAGGTTTTAAGATTAGTACACAGAAAACAAATATGACTGCACAAGATTAAGATGTGTTGAATTTTCTTTACTGTAATGATAAGATGATTAAGTAAACACTTTACAAAACTGAAAAAAAGACAGAATTGTAGTTTCTATATACCTCTTTGAAATCAATTAAAATTATGGATAGATTCAGGCCTTCAAGGATTGAAGAAATGGCTAGAAAAGTGAAGTTTCTGCACAACACTCAAGCATGAGCACTGTAGAGCTACAAAGGAATCCCACCTTAGTAGGGAACAAAATGCATACAGGTAGTTCTCGATTTATGACTATTTGTTCAGGGACCATTTGAAATTACAGCAGCACTTAGTGGATGATGGTGACTACCAGTCCTCAGAGTTTTAGTTGTCCCAGCATCCCCATGATCTGTGTGCTTGGCAACAAGTTTGTATTTATTACTGGTTGTCAAATGCACCATGATTACAGGATTGCTATTTGCAACCTTCCCTACTGGCTTCCCAAGAAAATCAAAGGGGAAGCCAGTAGAGAAGATTGCAAGTCACTCGGGTAAGTCTCCCCCACCTTCACACTCTTCCCCAGCCCCTATGGGCTCACTCTGTGTCAGCCACTCACACACTCTTGTGCACCCAAACAGGCTACACCTCCGTGCACCCTCCCGTCCCCATGCAGCACCTCTTACACAACCCTTCACTGACTTGCATGGTGCACACACATACACACACACCAAGCAGCAGCCACTTACCTGCCTGAGAGTCTGTGACTAGCAACTTCCTGCTGGCTTCCCCTCTGATTTTGCTTGTGGGAAGCCAGCAGGAAGTTGCCTTGCCTAATGAACATGGGATTCAGTTAATGATACCGGTAGCAATCAAGACTTCGGAGATTGCCATCATTAAGTGACGTGGTCATGCTTTATCACTGCATTGCTTGGCAAGGGAAATTCTGATCCAATTGCTATTGTAGTCTAGAATTACCTGCACATATTCCTGCATGAGGCCAATGTGGCTAATAATTTGGGCTTTTTCTATTTGCATCTGTCTCCTGATGCAGTGAAAGGCTAATTAGGAAGCCAAAATACTTTCAAAGAGGCCATTTTCAACATTTTTTGGATTTGCACATTTCCAAAATACAACATGACCTTTTCCTTTTTTGCAGTTTGTCAAGT